TGGATGTATATTTGTCTTTTGCAGTTATTTCTGACTTTTCGAACAAAACTCGGGATGGAACGTGAGAGAGCAAAATTGAGGTGCATGCCCTTACAGTTAACGCATGACCACACGAAGTATCTCTCGTCTGGAAACGCTTGTACGATATCATGAACGCATTTTTACATAAAACGAATGCCGCACAGAGGTATGGGTATGGAGTGTCTGTAAATAGTGAGAGTTCATGTTCTTGAGACTTGCGACGACGGGGGAGCGTGCATGCAATTTCCTCGAGACTGGAAAGCTTGGAGTAGACGCTGCAGCATGGCGTATAACCTTAAGGAAGTCCTGCAAGGAGACGGGGATTTCTGTAGGAATGAATATCCTTCCTGTACGTTTCCCAAGATAGACTTTCTATGGAGATATTCGCGATGTTGCAGTAGCGAAGACTACGTAATGCTATACAGTGCAAGCGTCAGGGATGGCAGTGCATTGATGGTGCACTTTGATTCGGTGGGTGGATTAATTGTCGCTTCTCTTCTTTTCTGTTTGTGTGTCACCGCTGTGAAACCGGATGGGAGCAGTACACGTGAGGCAGTTGGCGATGAGTCGAAAAGAGAGTCGGGGGAGAGGAAAGAAGAGGAGGGGGAAAGTGGAAATGGGATGGAAGAAATGTGCAACCGGCACGGAGGGTTGGGGAAGGGGTTCCTTGGAGGACCATCGATGAGGAAGATAAGCAATGAGGCGGATGACTCGGACAGCACCGTGAAGGCGTTGGCAACAGCTCTGGCAACGCAGGGAACTGGAAGCAATGTGAGCTCAATGATTTAAAAGGGAAAGTGGTTTGTTAGTTAGTGTATGCACTGTATTGGATGTGTGAAACACGGACAGCGGTTTGTGTGTGCGATAGAGACGGAAGCTCGTTAGAAATTGTGCGGAAGTGAAAGGAGGTAATACACTCTCCTGTATGCGTTGCCAGCAACACAGCAACAGGTGCGATGTACAGTAAACTCGCGGGAGGGCATTGTGAGGTGTTGGGGAAGGTCTTGCGGATGCGTTTGTGGTTTCCCGTGTTGAAAGGCGATACATTGTACAAGCACGGTAGCGTTGTGCAGCGGGTGAGCAGTTGTCGCAGGGGGAAGTTATAGTGTAAATTGAGACTAGATGTGTGACCTGAAAGGGTTGTTGGAGTGAGGCGAGAAGGGTAGCAAAATTAGAGGACGAAGGTTGGACATGGCAATGGAAGGGGAAGCGGTGCGGCAGCGCGGGGAGGAGGAAAGGAGATACGTAGTTTGTGAAACGATGGATGGCATGAGTCGGCGGTTGCAGTGAGACTTGCACTGTACAGGAGGGAGCACCCTGCACACCACGTAGTGTAGTGTAGAGGGTGGACAAGCTCGAGGTTGGGAGGTGTTTCTTTTTGAAGTATGACGTCATAGAAGGACCAGCGCTCGAAGGGTACAAGTACAGTACAGGTGCAGGGCATGCAGTGGAGATGTGAGTTACAGGACAGTTGGGGCGGTGGGTGGAGGTGATGAGGGGGGTAAGGCGGGAGGTTTTAGGGTGTTGCGCAACAAAGAGTGGGAGAGTTACCCTTAAGGGTAGACGCGCTGGTGTTCGAGCGGGAATTTGGGAGAAATCGGGGCGAGAGGGCAGCGCGGCAGGTGGTAAGGGGGGGGGGCCTACAGTGCGGGCGCCCTACAGTGCTGTATGGGGAAAATGACGTCAGGGGAAATTTAGTGTACTGTAGGAGGTGGACATCTTGGCGATGCCCTACAGAAGGGCACTTGAGTGCCCTTCTGTAGGGCATCGCTACTGATGTGAGCGTGACGAATCGCAAAAAGCAATTCGTCTCTCCGCCCAACCGGGCGCACGCGCGGGAACGTCTTCACATTGTTATGAACGGGAGGCGGTGGCGCTGTCAAAGACAGGCACGGATCACACATGGGTGAAACCGTCACTGTATCTCGCTCGTTGCTCCCGGGCCTTTGATGGAAGTGTGATGTCACACTATCTCTCCTGACGCGCACCAGTAACTCTACACGGCCTCCCCGTCCAATCATCCATCGCATTTTCGACTTTGAACGCTTTTCAAATCCCTTCCCGCGAATCGTTGCCCGGAGCAATGAACACCGCTGACCAGTTCGCCTCTTGCCTGCAACCATTGCTGAAACTGTCTCCGCGTTCCTCCTCGCGCGCGTCTTCGCCCCCGTCGCGCCCGCTGTCGCCGCTTTCAAAGCGCCCGCGCCCCCCTCCCCGCTCTCTCTACCCCTCCGCACCAACGCTTCCCGCCCCGTGCGCAACCTGGTCTTCCCGTTCCACTCCCCCCCGCGCCCCCCTCCTGACGCCCCCTGTCTCCACCCGCTCGTGCTTCGTTTACGCGTGTGCCCTCGTTACAGCACATCCATCTCCGTGTGATACACGACACGACACTACTGTCCCTGCCGCGTGCGATTCGTACGCATTGCCGTCGCGCCATTCGAATCGCGCCATTCCCCCTCCATACATCTCGCACACAAGTC